ACCTGAGTGGGCTGTGACTGAGAGTAATGGGGGATCCCCGGCATGTATCCATGGTTAGAGGACATGCCATTGGCCCTGGCTTGCATAGCTTGCGCTGCATTGGGGTTGTATTGCTGGAAAGTGGCCTGCAACGGGCTCTGTTGGAAAGTCAGGGGGATGCCTGCTGTGTTTGATAGCCTCCAGGGGGGTGGGACTGTGGTGATATTGTTGGTGAGCTGGCTGCGGTTGTTGAGCAGCAGTGTAGCCATGAAGATACTGGTTCTCAGTTTGGCTCGTCTGCTGCTGCTGCTGTTGTTGTTGCTGCTGCTGCTGCTGTGGTTGATGCTGTTGGGGCGGCGGCGGCTGCTGGTGCTGGGGTTGCTGCGGTAGAGGCGACGGACTGGCCTGAGACTGGGTCTGTTGGGGCTGTTGCTGATGCTGTTGTTGCGACTGCTGCTGAGAGCGTCGGAGGCCATGACCCTGTAGGGCAATCTGCGCAGCTCGGGCAGCACGCGCGACAAGGTCGCCATGCATGTTTCGGTCCACCGGGACTTCAACTTGTTGGTTGAGTGAGAATTGACCCTGGTGGGTGGTGTTGGGTGACTCGTGAGCATCCCCATTCGAACTCGAAGGTTGACGTCCCTTGACAGTTTTCTTTCCCTAGATAAAATTAGCACAAGCACAGCATTCGATGAAACATAATGTCAACAAACGGACCTGTTGGGTATTGATGGCGTCAAAGTTCTTCGAAATGTAGGAGCTAAGATCTCGGAGGAAATCTTCCCAGTGATACTTGTCCGGCAAGGCATTCAGCGCTTCTTCGTTATTGATTTCATTGAGAAGGATGTCGCGACGAGAGGTGAGGCGGTTCACGAAATCGGTCTCAGATGGTGCCAGCTGTCGGGTACCAGGACGTCTTGCCAGCAAACGCTGTTCCATATCGTCCGGAAATAGGTTGTAGAGAAGTTGCGTACGGGTGAGAGATTTGTTATGCATGGCTGCGATGAAGGCCTGCGTCTTGAGTTCGAGGTACAAAGCACCTTGGACCTTGAGCAAACGACCACCTTCAGGGACAAACACGTCCAGGAAATGATCGTTGAGGTCCGCAAATCCAATTTCTTGAGATCCGAAGATACTCGAGACAAAAGACGCCAGGTTTGCTTTGCGAATGACATCAACTTGAGAAGGGTCTGTGATTTCAAGGTCCGTAGGCTGAAGGAATGAGTGCTTGACGGTGTATACCCGCTTTGTGTGATCAAACAAGGAGCGCATAGTGGCATAGGCTTGGCCATTTTCGGAGTCAGGTTCGGACACCATAGCAGTGAGGTCTTGGTAGGTGTTCTTGGAAAGGAACGACAAGATTTGCGTCGACTAGCAAGTGATTGGACAGGTGTTAGGAGACAGAGATCACATAAATAGTATGAATTCAACTCACAAGATTGTCCAGGATAGGGAGACTCTGAATCTTCAGGTGAGAGTTGGCCTTGAGGAAAGCAAAGCCTCTGGCTCCGGGGAAGTCGTTGGACGGTGGGAGTTCTTGAGGTCCCATTGCAACGGTCTGTTCCTGGCGCTCTGTGTGATCCATGATCTCGGAAATGATTGTGGCCACGTCGTTATTGAGATCAGAGGTACCTTCCTGGGTGTTCGCGACCCCGGTAGGAGTGTCATGGGTGTCATGGGTACCATGCTGAAGAGTTTGGTTTACATTATGATCGGTTTGCTCAACGGTGTCAATAACGCCTTCGCCGAGAGCCGAGGCTAACTCCTCTTCGATTTTGTGACCAGGTCCATGCTGATCGGTCATTAAGATAACTTCGTTAGGCAGAGAGATATCACCGTCGGGGCCATCGTCTGTACGGCGCTTTTTAGCAGCCGGGGGCGAGCCATGCTCTTCATCGTCAAGAGAATGGGGGACCTTTTGGTCTATTATACAAATTCAGATTGTTAGTGTTGATGTCAACGTTATATTGAGGTTCATTGGTGGTGAAAAAGATAGGTATCGGTGGGTGTGGTCGAGGCTGGTGAACGGGACGATCGGATGAGGCATTTGAAGACAACACTTACCAATGTCACCTCCATCGGAAGGGAATGGAGGAAAGTCAGATGTTTCCTGGCCATCGAAGGATGGCCGCACGCCTCGAGTCTCGACCATTTGGACAAAGCGCCTGTCTGGGGTCGGGGTATCAACTTCCGAGAGCAGAAATGAGGGCTTAGGGGTAGGGCGCATTTGTAGGGCTTGCGGAAGAAGGATGGAGGAGCGAGAGGATGATTTTTCTGCCGGGCGGTGGGATTTGGGGGATGATGGGTGGAAGCGTGGTTTTGGAAAAAGATGTGCGTGGGGATCCATGAGGGATGCAGAGATGTGGAGAAAAGAAGAGGAGCTTGGTCAGGAGTGCGTGACTTTCTCTTTAATTGTGCGTGTATTATGTCTTCTTCAATACCGAGGTATCTATTTGGTTTGTTTCCCATACATGAAGGTATATTATTCGTATTTTGGCCTGTCGTACGCCAGGAAAGGTAGGTACATTCAATAACAACTAATGTAGAGTAGCTCCTGCCCATCTTTCTACAACTTATATACCGGGCATGAAACTAGACTCAATCAAACTCGGCCGTTGAACTGTTACTGGAGAAATAGCTAGGTAGGTAGGTAGGTAGATGAACCTGGATGTGATAAACGTGTTAGATTCAGACGGATAGGCTGGGCACCACGTAGCACATCCCCTTTACAAATCACACAATTCCATCGTGACCAGGAATACCAGTATGGATATTGTGGAGCAAAACCCCAGTCAATTAGTTCGAAAGGACCGGTAAACTTATACGCCGTGGTCAAATTCGAAGCTATGCGTCTATATAAAACCCGAAAGGTTTAAACAAAACCTTAACCCTAAACTTGAAAGGGGCTCGGAATATTCCCAAGGTTTGGGAGGGGAGCTACCTAGGTAGAGATATATTCCTCATTAGGCTGCGGCGAGGGATATACGTATCAATAATGCCCAGGAAGATATATCTTTCTACTATTTCAAACCTCGATCCTAAATTATATTTCATATTCATGTTTCCTACCTTGTACTAAAGTTCGCTATACGAGAATTGTTTCGTTATCTCAAAGGAATGTCCGAACTACTTGGAACACAAGAATTGAAGCCAGTCTCTGACTGCTACCTTTCTCCCCAATACCATTTATACGAGCCGAACCCAGACATGCTCACATCTGTCATCTAGAACGAGCGTACTCGCCGTTCAGTACTGCAGCGGTGTAAGAAGATAGAGACAGAGCTTGATGACTTAATGGAGAATCACAGAAACTTGGTCCAAGCCCTCCATCCTATAACACGGCGGCTAGTGTTCGGAAAGCGAGTGATAGTGCTCCCTCAAAGCCGCCTCGGAGCTTTTGGAAGAAATATTGGAGCTTTTCAGCTTGGGTTTAATAGGAAGGAGAGATTGAGTCTCCTTAGCAGTGATCATCAGACTACTGGAAATTGCTGTTTATTTTGCTTTAAAGCGTTGTGAATATCGATATGAATGGATCTGCTTGATGAAGGGCTTTTTAGTAGTCGTTTCAGCAGTTTCTCCAATAGCTTTCTCTGTTGGGCTTCCCAGTTTTTCTTAGATATCTTTAAAAACACCTAGGTAGTTTTCCCCTTTCCAGGCTATTCAAGACGGCAGAAAAAGACGGAAAAGGCATACTGTGTGCGAGCGACTTTTCTATGTATGACTTCTGACTGATGACTGATGACTGATGACTGATGGTGATGATGAGAACCATGCCTGATTCTAATTATTTCTGGGGTCCAGAAGATCTTTTTGATATATTTTAGAAGCACAGTCACCTGAGCTCTTAAGAATGCTAGCGGAGCGGCTCGCCTCTACTTTCCATCCTTCATTGCGTGAAACTCGCTACAACATACATGAGCAAACTCTAGATATCCAGCACTAAATCCGATGTTAAGTTTCAATAACCATAAGCGTTTGAAACAAATTCAAGATACCTCTGAAGCCTGCTTAGGTGGGGCATGAGGGCGGGGGACGTATTGAAATGTACATTTTGCAAGTACTACGTAATCTATATAGAAGCAACCCACAACCGACAGGGAGGAACTCGCAATATAGTATCTTGGCGTTACGGAGTAGATCTCAATATTCTTCAGAGAGTCCTATGGTACCTGTATTTGATAGGTCGACAGGTACCTGTATCCAGGGGCAGGAGGTTACCGTTTTAAGACTAGCGTATCAGGTACCGGTAGGCGAATTATCCACGGATGACGCCTACATGTCCACTGACGGAATTTCATTTTGCTACGTTCTATATATTCAATTACTAGAATATCACATAATTTGTTGTATATGGAGTGTATAGAAATTCCATTGACTCCACGCGGATAATGTGTGCGCGTCATTAATTTATCTCACCTGGGTATACCTCGCGTGCAACCTTGAGTCTACCAGCCCTATGAGAAACTTCATTTTGGTCTTGAAAGTGAGCCGTGGTGAATACCCACACAGCTTAACCGTGGAAGATTCGGACCTGATTCGTTCCTGGAACTAAAAATCGAATGAAGTTATCCGACTGAACAATATATATCACACATATTCGAACTGTGCCATTGAGTCTTCCGATATCCACTATGTACTTTAGCTTCCAGGGGCTCTTAAATATCATTTCTGATCACTTATATGTTTCCTTTCTGTTGACAAGCTTCGTATTTGAGCCTATGTCGTCAAGATTCAGTTTATCTCCACTATCCGAGGCACCCGAAAGTTACAGTGCCTTCAGTCTCGACTTCCACGAATAGAAAGCCAGTATGTCTAGCTCTAGTAGGTACCTAGGTAGTACCGATACCTGAAAGCGGATATCTCATCGTCTGGGTCCTTTCCACCGGGCAGCCCTAACATCACCATTGGAGGTCTGGACTATGGAGTCCCAGGTTTCTTTATTACAGAGGTTACCCCCGTAGTCTGTAGACCAAGTCAATTAACCCAGTCAAGGCTTGCTGTTCCTCGATGCTTGGAAAACCATGTTGATGTACGGCCTACCCATCGCTTTCCTGGCCCTACAGGGCCCGGCAATGGTTTCAGCTCAAGGTTCCGACTCCACCGAGAAAGTGTGGGGAGTCTTTGCGTTTACTGTCTACGGAGATAGCAAGCCAAGTGTGCTCACCAGCTCCCGAACCTTGACCGACTATGGAGCCAACGAACTTGCCGCGGCAGCATCAGCTTTCCGGTACCGTTATGTATCAACACCTGCAGGCTCTGAGACAGGAATCCAGAATATTTCCCCAATTATTCTGGACTCGAACGACGTGGATGTGCTCTCGACAACGAATCAGAACATTGTTGGATCAGCTCAAGCATTCATGCAGGGTCTATACCCACCACTCGGCTCAATGAACATAACAAGTAACCAAATTGCGAACGGGTCGTTTGCGCAGGCGCCATTGAACGGATATCAATACTCTCGGATTGTCACGCTTGGCGAGGCTGACCCTCAGTCTATTTTGGTTGAGGGGCACGCGATGTGTGACATGTATCGTGCCGCCGAGGGTGAATACCGTGCTAGCGACGAAGTCCAGGATATCACACGAGATACGGAAGCATTTTACAGGAAACTCTGGAAACTGGCGCTGTCTGAAGTCTATGATGAGTCGTCTGCAACTTATATGAATGCTGTTCCAATCTCGGAATATTTGGATTATGCAGCTGTACACAATGAGAGTTTGTTCGAAAGCCTGAATCATGCCGACGTCCTCCGTGCCCGCTCGTTAGCGGATCAGTATCTCTGGAGCACAAACAGTGAGCAATCATCTCCCAACGGGTCGGTGATCGGAGTAGCCAGCCCAATTGCGGGTCAGACATTGGCATCAAGCATTCTAGAAGCCTTTGATCTGAACATTCAGGAAAGTGGCACCCGGCAGAAGATGACCCTGTTGTTCGGTGGCGATGAGCCAGCTGTTGCCCTGTCGTCTGTGATGGGACTCGCAAGCCAACACCAACCCAATTTCTCCTCCCGCCTGGTACGAGGTGGCTCGTTTGTTTTCGAGCTTTACAGCTTCGAGAACAGGAGCAACTTGTACCCATCATACCCTGGTATCGACAATTTGTATGTGAGGTTCTTGCTTCACAACGGGACCGACAACACCACCAACTTCCAAACGTACTCCCTGTTCGGACACAGCCCCAGTCAAGCCGCAATCCCATACAATGAGTTCCATTCCGAGCTAGAGACGTTTGCCGTGGCATCAACCCAGGAATGGTGCCTCCGCTGTAATGCCGAAACTGTTTTCTGCAATGGAGTGTTAGACCCGAGTGAATCTCAGCCATGGAAGAAGAACAAAGAGATGGCTCCCGCTGTAGCTGGAGTCATTGGTGCTGTTACAACGCTAGCTGTCATTGGGTTCACAGCAATCGTTGCGTTCCTCATGTGTGGTGCTCGCAAGGGCAAACCAAATAAAGGAAGCCTTGGGGGATTCAAAGGTTCTGGAAAACTTGCCAGTGATACCGATGTGTCCTACGGTGAGCCCATATGGGGAAACTCCAAGGCCGACGGTACTCAAACATCCACTGGTGTTGCTGCTGGAGTTGAAGTTGCTATGCAAGGCCAAGAACGCTCTGGAAGTTGGGAGATGGGGCAGGGGAAAAAGGAGAATGAGAATATTCAGCCCGATGGCATGGAAGTGAGGTCGCCTTTCGACGACCATGAGGAAGAATGGCGTGTGAACAGTGGCGTGCAGGCTGTGGAAATCAGGGAGAGTGTATAAGCCGTATTATGTCGTCGTCCAGAATTGGCTTATGTCGTCGTCGTCCACATGCAACTGCATAGATTGTATACCGTCGTCGTATTTTTGAACCAAACACCTCTCGTGTTTTTCGAACGTGTTGTCATTCAATTCAGTCTTTCTCGAGCATCCTTCTTGTTCAGGGCTATATGGCCAACATCGACGCGTGCTGAGCTGCGACAAACGCGTCTCTTGTCGACTATATCTCGTGACCCTAATCTCTGAATAGCCTCGAACCCTCGTTCCTTCTCCATTAACCCTGTACCTTCCAACCGAATCATCTTAAACCTTCTTTTTCATCGAATTCCTTCGATTCCATTGTTCTCGACAGGTAAATATGCCATCCCAATGAACAAAATGAAGTATAACTTGCCAACACTGTTGGCATTGTGCCAGGACACAGGTGCGCACTGCAAGTGGACCAGTCAAGCAAAACACTGTAAGTCCCCCTCTGATGGTTTTTTTGAGCGCCGATAATCTTCTCAAAGGGATGAAGATCGCATTGGGCTGTTGGTGTGAACTGGGTTCCAGTACATCGATCAGAGCTGCCATGGGTCTCAGGATCCATTGTCTCTGCATAGCCCAGTGAAAAGAGCCTTGCTGACCATCAAAATAGGTAAAATAGTACGTCCTGGTCGAAATAAAAAGCCTGTTCTTTCAGAAAATCCAAGAAATCGGCCGACCAGAGAGTCAGCTAGATCATCGCGACCGAACAAAAACCCGGCATCGAAACCCTTCAAGAATCGCCCGAATCGTGCCAGCGGAAAACCTCCTGAGCCTGTGTTCTTCACGAACGACGCAGGGTTTGCTCAGTTCCTGAAAAAGCACACTTCCCCAAAACACCAGCGAGTCACGGCTGGGGGAAGAATTGTTCCGATGGAGCCGTCGAGACCACCCCATCTTGACAGCCCATCAAATGCCCCAATGGATGTGACAAATGACGACGAATCCATTGTGACTCATGTCTTTGTTGATGATCAACTTGTGGCTGGTGGCCACGATATGGCAACACAAGAGAACTTGACAATAATCCGTTCTTCAACAGAGTCCGATAATGCCTTGCATGGAATATTGCCGTCACCATTGTTGACAAGCACATCCCAGCTCGCAGCCCCTGCCTATTCGCAAGATTTGACTGTTTCACCAGCAATAGGAACAAGTTCACACGTCGAATGGGCTGTACAAGGAGTGCCAGATGAAGACGACCTAGAGTTCATTCGTCAGACTGGGTGGCAGGAGCGAGTAGCCTGGATCGAGAGCTTGATTAACATTGATGATGCTGCAATTGCGCAGATGCTGGCATACACGCCTTCCTATGATATTTCCCATGGTTGCGATTATTACATTCGATATGTAAGAAAGGCATGGATGGTCGGCCTTGAGACCATGGCTGAGGCATTTGCACGGCTGAATAGCAAATTCCGGTGCCACGAAAGATATCTGCAGGAGGTTAGCGAAGCCATCGCATTGGACCCCCAGATTTCACCTAGCGATTATCGTTATAATTTGCGCGTCTTTCACACCAATGAAAGGGCAAGAGTGCTCAGAGCCATTGAGGAACATGACATGCTCATGGCATATGGAGAGGCTATTGATATGGACAACACCAATGAGCCAAGAGGCGCTGTCGTTGATCCAGGGCATCAAAACTCCACTGAAATTCAAGAGCAACTTGAAACATCGATCGCAGGAAATTCACATGTTAATCTGTCAACTGATGGTGCCAATGAGATTCAGCATCTGAACACCAATCGTGGAGTCGATATTATTGACCCTGATACTGGCCATCCCATCCAATTCCAGAGGCAATCATTGACAGCTGCAAACAACAGCTGCAGCAATGAAACAGGCTGCAAAAAGGGAAACAATCCCAAATTTGATCATATGCAGGTTGACGGAAGCTCGGACTTGCTCATTCGCGATGAAGAAAATGGCAACACAAGCCGAAGAATCTCACTTTTCAATGAAATACAGGTTGATAGAAGGTCAGACTTGTGGGTTCGTGATGGGAGCGGAGATGTGCCTACAGGAAGCAATGACCCGCCTTTTGACGCTGATAGCCGATTGGGCATTCGCCTTTCTCCCGAAATGGATTCTGAAGGGGAAACCGATGAAATCATATCAGCAATCCCTCGTGAGGCATGGACAGAACGTCGTTTGACAAACGGAAGCCGTATGAGCGAAACTGTGCCCCGGAACTTTGGCCGAAACAACGTCTTCAATTATAGACCGCCATTGCGGTCCGTTACTGAAGTCAACCACGAGGAACATGTTACCGAATTGGCTAGCACGGCTGCAAATAATGGGAGTCCCACACCAAGCCTTATGTTTAGCCCGTGAGTTTATGGCCCTCGACAAGAACTCGGAGGATACTAACTTCTAGAGCCGCAGTGATGCAGATGAAGTGAGCCATCCGACTGAAGATGGCGCACCTCAGAATGGGCTTCGGTTTCTTCAGAATGAGCCCTGCGACGAATCAGCCTCAGCCGGCTCAGACGACGAGCAACCAATGATTAGAGATTTTCGCTCTGGACCTGTATTGACTGAAGAGATGCTCTCGTCACTTTCCATTGATCAACAGCGCAGAAGTGCTGACGTACTGGAGAACTTTTTCGATGTGCTTGTCGTAGATGTGCAGGGTGATTGGGGAGCGGAAGAATCCGGTGAACGAAGCGGACGTGCTTTCGCTGAACAAATGGAGGATAGCTTGAACCACAGGTAAGTCCCATTTAAATCACCTGCGTGTGTGAAGTGCCGGCTTTGACGCATAGTAGCCGCAATGGAAGTATCACCCTGACAATAAACGGCTTCCGGGGGGATTACCCAGATGACATGTCGGATACACCCCTATTGTCTCGGAATAGCCCGTTCGGCAGGTATAGCCCTTTCGATTCAAGCGGTCCATTGTCCCGGAATAGTCCCAGCAGAGCAATCTCGAGGTCGAGTGTCCGCCGCAGGTCCGACGTACCAGCGGGTGGTCTCAGCAGCGTTGGGTCTCGCATGATTTCGTCGAGTCTGAATGCCCGCCGAAGACATGATGCACGTGAAAATGTCCGAAACGCCCGTCGCTCACTCACAATCTCATCTAGATTGATTGAAGACTTGAGAGACGAAGTACCCGTCACAACGCTTCTTGGTTTCGACGCGCCAGACAGTCAACAAAACACCAATTACTTGCCTGTGTATCCGCGCTTGATAGATGCCAGCCTCAGACATACCGCGCCCCCCATTGTGAACACGAGCAAAATCAATGCTTATGCCCACCGTTAATGCTATGCAACTATGACGTTGAATACTGGGTAATTGAGCAAATGCTCAAGTGTCCCCAAAGCTCCCAAAGTTCCAGATGATGAAAGCAGAAAAGGCAGAGAAAAACACCGAAAAAAAGATGGAAATCAATGGACCAAGTCCAATTCGAAGGTGGAGACGATATTGACGAAACATGAATCTGTACGATATTATTATGTATTGATATTCTTCCAGCAGAATGAATTATCATTATCACGTGGACCTATACTATGTGCCCAGGTGTAGATACGGGCTTATTTATACCGGGAATGTCACCACCCTCGTCTAACGAAACCGGGAGAAAGGAAATATCTTCAAAATACCACTAAAAAGACATCATATGGCCACATATACGGCTGGATATTGTTAATCTACTTTACTTTTCTCCTGCAATAACCCCGATTATTGCAAATATGATAATGCTACAGCGACCCCATGCGTAGGACTTCAGCCACCTTCCTAGGCAACTAGTTTTCTGGATTTAGCAACTACCGCCCTACCTTGACACCTGGTTATGCCTACTGCCTTGCTCACTGCCATTAATAAACTGTTTTTGACGTACATTATTGAGAAGAGGGTAATAAAATTATCGAAATCCAGGTCCTTCTAGAGCGCGTCGATCTATATAGCCGGGGGGCCTGTCTCAACCATAACTACACTTTAAAATGAAATTGTATATAAGATAATATACTATATACATGTATAATTGAAAATACCTCCGAAGGTCCTGAAGCGCTTACCGCCTCAAGAATCATGTAGACACTCTCTTACAATTATACCGGCCATCTATTCGACAATTCCTTTATGTCAATACAGACCATACCCTATATATGTAGATTTTATGTGCTATATCTATCTGTAACCCTTTCTTTAGAGGCTATTCATCCAAAAAAGCATCTTTCTTGACACTTTACATTCAGATGTACAATCATGCAATCTGTGTTGAGGAACTGATGATTAGCCGTACCCTTTTATTTGTTACACTAAGAATTACCGAGCTATCTTTGTATTGAAAAAAAATTGCATAGGTAATCAATCCCTTAATCTAGTATCCTCTGAATATCTGATATTTGCGAGAGCGCAATAACACCAGATATGGTGTACGATTCAGTCAGTACAAAAGGTGATGGGCGCTTAGCGCGTCTGGATTATAAGGATAAATGTCTCACGGATCGCACCGGAGAGTGGTGATTTGGGCAAGCTCAAGAGTAAATAAAGTAGTCAGTAAACATTGTACTAATCAAGTCTTCAGTTATGATTTAATTGATAGATGAGAATTGTACGTTCCATTATGTTCATACTTTAGAATTGTATACTCCGTGGTGATTCTATATATAGCATTCGATACAATATTCTTGCTTAAAAGACCCATTAAACTGTTGTACAAAGACCAGGCCAATGATACAAGAGCCATAAGAAAAACAGTAAAAAAAAAGCCACAGGGTCCATGGTGCTAGACCAATCTACATCCAATGAGAGAGTGATGCCCCTGTGGTACACTGCGCCGCCCGTATGCAGTTGCTAAGTTCCTGAACTTCTCTATATTTAGAATGTTACCCGCTACATGGAGTTACGGAGTCCGTCATAAGGTCAAAATTAAGACGACTTGATGTATTTATAAGCATTTCTCTAGGGTTTTTCTCAAGTCTTAACACTGACGTAGATGGACACTGCGCTCTGCCCAGGTTTTAGATGACTAAGCCTTGGCCTCCGCGTCCTTCTCCACTCCAATTCCTCCTTGCCTCCGGTTTTCCCACTGGCTTCTCAATTCTTGATCTTCGTTCTTTATTTGTTCTGACATGTCGCCTTATCCATGAGCCCAGTTTTCGTGGCTTTTGTCGTTTCACTTCTCTGGGTGGAAATCCCCCGTCGTACCGCTTCTTACTAACAATTGCCCCCCCGCGATTATATCCCCAGCCGGCACTTGGCATTTGGAAGACCGCCCCTTTCACCCTCAACGCCTTGCTTTTGCACCCTTTGGTTCATCTTTTCGATAGGTCTTAAGTGACTTTCCTTTTGGTCTCGATTTTGATATCGGCGACCCACCCAATATGACGCAGCTCTTCGCCTCCAGTCCGTCTCCAGTGACAAATAATGAGAAGCGCGGGAATTTCCCCGCTCTCTCCCTTCCCTCACGAAAACACTCCAACGAGTCTGGCCACTTGCCCACGAGAATCAAGAATTTCTTCCGCATCAACAGTTCAAGCAGCCATTCCCCTCCCAACCCCTCTGGAAGTACCGAACGGGAACGGGATAGCCATGGATCGGTCAAGAATGAGAAGTCTGCCTTCCGGCAGTCTCGATTCCTGCCAGGCATGGGCCGCAACCGATCAACAACTGTTGCCAGTGAAGGCAACCCACTCGATGATGCGATGTCGCCTACGGCATCAGCCAACCCATACTTTGCCCACCAGGGCCAGCCAGCATTGCGACACCGCAATGATGGGTCAGTGCCCTCCTCTCCCCCCGACACCCCTGAGTTGCAAGTTACGGGGGTCTCTGCAGCAGAACAAGCGACCACTACAAACAAAGAGGAATTAGCGCGCAAGTTACGACGCGTGGCCTCTGCCCCGAATGCCCAAGGCCTGTTTACAAGTGGTCAGGGTGGGCGTCCTCAGACAGCGGACCTAGGCAAGGAGCCCCTAGTGGAACAGTCGGGTGGATCAGTGGGCCTCGCAGATCCAAGCAGCGAGGAGTATAATCTGGCGGTACCTTCCTCACTCAGCTCAGATTTCGGCAGTAACGCTGCTTTCCGCCGCACTTACAGTTCAAACTCCATTAAAGTTCGAAATGTGGAGGTCGGCCCCGCTAGTTTTGACAAGATAAAAATGATTGGCAAGGGTGATGTCGGCAAAGTTTATCTGGTGCGCGAGAAGAAATCGAGCCGTTTGTATGCCATGAAAGGTACGTTTTTATACACCGGTGACTGTTCTAGGCCATGTACTGACTTGCGGCTAGTATTGAGCAAGAAGGAGATGATCAAACGGAACAAGATCAAACGAGCTTTGGCCGAACAAGAGATCCTGGCTACGAGCAACCACCCGTTCATTGTCACCTTATATCACTCTTTCCAATCAGAGGATTATCTGTATCTCTGCATGGAGTACTGCAGTGGCGGCGAGTTTTTCAGGAGTGCGTTTATCTTTTAATCCTATATTCGACATCATATCCGAGGATTTGTTGCTGACTTGTGCATTTCTAGCCCTGCAAACCCGCCCTGGCAAGAGTATCTCTGAGGATGCAGCCCGCTTTTATGCCGCAGAAGTTATTGCTGCGCTAGAATATCTCCATCTCATGGGTTTCATCTACCGTGACTTGAAACCAGAAAATATCCTCCTTCACCAGTCTGGTCATATCATGCTTTCTGATTTCGATCTGTCGAAACAGTCCGGACCCGGAGGTGCCCCGACGATGATTCCTGCACGCAGTGGGGGCAACTCCACTACTGGCTTACCGACGATTGATACCAAGTCGTGCATTGCTGATTTCCGAACAAATTCTTTTGTCGGGACGGAGGAATACATCGCACCCGAGGTGATCAAGGGATGCGGTCACACCAGTGCTGTTGATTGGTGGACTCTGGGCATTCTAATTTACGAGATGCTGTACGGCACTACACCATTCAAAGGCAAGAACCGAAACGCGACGTTTGCCAGCATTCTGCGGGACGAGGTCAACTTCCCAGAGCACTCGGGTGCGCAGCAGACATCAAACCTTTGCAAGTCTTTGATCCGCAAACTGTTGATAAAGGATGAAACCAAACGCCTAGGAGCCCGCGCTGGCGCCTCAGATGTCAAGACTCACCCGTTCTTCAGGCAGACCCAATGGGCGCTCATTCGCCACATGAAGCCGCCTATGATTCCCCACCAAGGTCGTGCCGGCACGGATACGGTGAACTTCCGCAACGTCAAGGAGAGCGCTAGCGTAGATATTGGCGGCACTGATTCCACCAGAATGAAGGGTGTCCCAATGGATTCGGGCCTTGCGACTCCCAATGGCGAACTCAACGATCCCTTTGAGGAGTTCAACAGTGTCACCCTTCACCACGAGGGAGATATGTAAAGCCTAGGTTCTTCATTTTGTCACTTGTTTCTTTTATCCGATACACGAGGAGAACAGCCGGATGTGCGTCGGCTTGCTGACGACCATGATGCATTAACGACTGTATTTAGATGCTATTATTCTTCCCTTGCAATCCTCGCTGGGTGTATGGAGTGTTTCGGGGCTTTTTCTTGGTGGATCTATTCAAACTCTTTTCTTTTTTCCCGTTTTCGTCCCATTGTTATGACTTATTGCTCGTCGCTTGCTTTGCATACTGCATTTTCTTCATGTTCTAAGGCTTTGGATCACTCTTGGTTGCGCCTCCAATTCAGACATGACATAGCATCGACACCGAACCGTTCGTTGGCATTGCGAGATGGTTTGTGTCAGACCTCTGAGCTGTTGGTTTTTTTTCTTACGCGTCTACCTGAAAACTGTGCTATACATTTGCTTTTTCATCCCACTTCGCAGCGGAACGGCGTTATGGGATCACTTTTTCGGTTTACGTTTTCAGCGTGACATTTGTATGAATCAACTGATTACTGCGTGCTGCTTTCAATCTCAATTTACGTTTTGTCAAGATCGCCTCTGCTGTTAGTTAAGCCATGGCTTGCAAGACTCGAAGCAATTTCTGCATTTGGCTTTTATTTCATTCCACTTGGTCTGGCTATATCCTCTGATTGTCCTATCTCGCAACAGATGCTCCTGTCATTTTCGACCTTGTAGATAGCCATCGACTCATGGAAAGAAGAGCATTACAAAGCAAGGCATACAACAAGGCAAGGTCATATCAAATCTAGCCTACTAGAAGATAAAAGCCTCCGACGAAGAGAGTAGCGTAATTTGAGTTTAGGCGGCTGTACATAAGATATAAATGTTTTGCTTCAACGGTACAATATAATATCACAATTCAAAGCGATCCCAATTTGTAAAAGTATACAAACTACATAATGGGTACCTCAAAAGCTCAAGTCGAAAAGAGCCGATGTCTTCAATGCATATGAGGATCCGCCGCACAAGCCTTCCGACACTCCTCCATGAGTCTTGCCTGTCTGGCAACGTCTGCAAGGCGACCAATAACCTCTTTATTACCATCATAGAAGGTAAAGACCGCATACGGAATCTTCACATCCTCACAAAACTCCCGAACAAACTGCTGTGTCTTGCGCAGATTGTGTCGCGGGATACGAGGATACAAATGGTGAATAGCCTGGAACTGGAGACCACCATGGAAGAAGTCCAACCAAGGCGGACAGTCAACGTCCATGGTAGTGCGGAGCATCTTCTGAGGGAAAGATTCCAGCGGGCCGAGATCCGCAGTGGACATAGCGTAATGCGACAAGGTAATCTGCACATGAAGCGGCGAAGTCACCATATGCGAAATCAGAACAAAGGCGACGCGGTTAAACCAGGTCGGGATGCTACACCAGACAACCCCGTAACCGAACCAAGCCCAGAAGAAGATGTGGCCGACGAACTCGAACCAACGGTGCCACCAGCCTGCGCCGTGCTTCGGTCCGCGTCCGACAATGATGTGCTCCCAGCTTAGGAAGTAGAGGTTAAAGCGGCCGAAAAGAAGGATGGGGTAGTATAGGTAGTGTTGATATTTGACGGTGATCTGGGCCACGGCGTCGTATTCCATGACGCGGTCGTAGTAGGTGCTATAGAGCGAGCTGAAGAAGCGGTGCGACAGCGCGAAAAAGGGCATCAGTTCGATATCTGGATCGTGCTCGGGGGCGTTGGTGACGATGTGGTGCACGTTGTGGCTGCGCTTCCACCAGCCTAGACTTAGACCGCCCAGGTAGTCAGCGATGATCATGCCGATGGTGGTGTCGATATGATAATTATGCGTGATACCCATGTGGCCGGCATCATGGGCGGAGAAGACGAGTTGGTGCCAGAAACAGCCGAGGAAGAAGGCTGATAGGCAGAACCAGGAATGTTTGAGGAAGAAGAGGAACAGTCCAAAGAAGAGGGTGTAGCGACTGATCTCGATAGCGTAGGCTTTGTAGTTGCATTTGTACAGTCCTGCTGCGCGGATACGCTGGTGTAGCTCGCGATATCTTTTTACAACGTATTCTTGATGTTCTGCGTCGAGAGGAGGGTAGTTGACTGAATCCATCTCGATTTCCTCTTGGGTTCGAGCATCAATCACGTAGGTTCGTGCTTTTTGTTCTGTTGGCGGAGGGATGGCACTGATTGCTGAGGAGATTGTTGATACCGATAGTCTGCGTCTCAAGCCCGATTTTTCATCTTCGGCTTCGAATATGGGAGATGGTGGTGCTGAAATCTCATCGCTTGAAAGACCCGAGCTCACTAGGTCTTCTTCATCGATCACATTCTCGATCAATGGGCGGAATTTACCACCTTGGATGGGAGGAAGGAAGTTGGTCCAGTGGCCTTCGATTCGGCCAATTTGGAATTTGTTCATGCGCTCGCGGGCTTCCTGTGAATGAAGTCTTCAAAATGATATCAGTATAATGTACAGATAGAAGGGAACAGGAAAGGAGATATGGAGGGACTCACGCATTCACTTCGTCTGTGGCATCTTTTCCAATCATATGCTTGATAGCCATATCACCTCCGGGGTGATATTTGATCCAGGAATCTAGTCTGAGGACATTGCCATCGACAATGATGATCATCTTGTCTTCAGCAAGCATGCCCTCGATCTCGCGTCGTGAGAAGACATTGTCTCTAGCCCTAGCTGGGGTGGACATCTTGCTCATTTGGTACGATTAACCAAGAAAGCAATTGAAATATGGCACTTACTTTTTCAAGCCAAAAGATTTGACATCGAAGAAAGAAGTGCGCATCAAGACAATTATAAGAAACAATTTACCAGGGACCTGTATCTTTGTTGTTTTACTCGGCCGCCTGATGAACCCATTAATCTATTCAGTTACCTAGTCTTTCATAGCGCCGTAGCGCCGTAGCGCAAGACATCCCGTTCCTCTTGACCCAGGGGACAGACACAAAGGGGCAGTGTAAAGTGGTCTATCCAACCGAGATGTGGACACGGCAGAACTCCATGGGGAATGGGGCGGAGAGGTCAAGGTGTGTTGATGTATCATTGGACCTCCGGGTCAGGCAGTGTGACAAGGCTGTGGGCACTGTGGCGAAGATAAAATATAGTCCATACGCGTATCAGTTCAACTTTACCATACTTTGCATGTCCCGTTTGATAAGTCGAGCTAAAACAAGCTTAAACCTTGGGTGCCCCTGTCGGAAATTGAAATAGATCTCTAGAATTAGCCTCCCCCCTATCCCATGTCGCAGTGTCTACTCCACTCCAGGCACGTACACTATAGAATCCAGAATATTCTCCATTCCCGCTCAAAATCGCCATATGTTTTACCCCCTGAAAAAATCAAGAGACATTATTCAAAAGTGGCGATTCGTATTCGCAAACGAGATGTAGATATTGGCTAACCTTCTTTGGTTAACCTATCTTGGCTAACCTTGGCTATGGAAAGCCTCCAGGGGACTAACCAATTTTGGAAAAACCTTGACACGTGTCCACCCCAAACCCTAGGGGAAACATCTCTTGGGGGCAACTTTATTATATTTCGGGTCGAGGGACCAGGGACCCATCACGTTAGAAATGAAACGTCTGTGAACTGTCGCGAGAAACAGATCTTCCCTCGTCTGCCCCTCTATTGCCGCTCAAGCCCCGCATCTGGGACTAGATAATATATCGCCAACTTCCTGATTTGGGACACTTACGTATTTGGACTTCTTTCGATGTCTACGTAAAGCGAGGTCGCCACTTGACGTGCAATGTGTCTATCTCTCCTTTTTGTCATTCTCATGATCCACAGTGTGAGATAACGATGAAGGCTATTCCAGACCTCGGTAGGGACATCATTTTAAAGTGGAAAACGCAAAGCCAAGGCTCTTTTCCTACACTAGAGTGAAAGCGTTATTAGGGGCGGCAAATATATCACCAGGCCATCTAGGTTGAATTGGCTTTTCCCAAGTCGTTATTCGAGGCGACCATGTTGCAGCTGAAACTATATCGGACGTATAGAGATCTAGGCTTCCATTTAAAGAAAGTAGAGGCGCAGGTGGTTCGTATGACTGGGACGCCGCGCGGTAACAGACCTCATGCGCATTTCGCGGGGCAATACTCCGTACTCCCTACAGTTTCTGGATATTGTCGCATTCTAGTAATATCTCTAAAATCTTGGCGCTGCCTTTTCTCAGGGGTCCTAAAAGCGTGCGTGGTACTACGGAGTACCTTGTACCAGGATAGAGGGCCACCACGAGGCGTTTGCGATAAGGATATCCACTTCTAAATGGGAAGTTTTGAATCAAGCATGAGACACTTGTTTCTGACTTCGAAATTCACATGTAAATTCCATCTGCGAAGGATCTGTGATTTCCACGGGAAATCATCTCACTTGGAGTGAAACTCTCTCATATCAACTAATTAGGGAAATGATCTCGAAATATCGATTGGAAAATCTAACCTGAGGCAGGAATATATATTGCTAACTCGATCCACTCGAGGACTTCGCTAGCTCGCCCCAGTTGACTTGGGAAGGCTTGCATCCTAGTCGACAATGGGGTCATTAGAGCCGAATCACAAGCTTGGTCTTCCACCTAATGTTGTTAGCCTGTGGAAATGCCCCGCCAATGAAAGGTTGATCCTCTTTTCCATGGGATCATTCTTAATACCTGAAAAAAAGAAAAAAAGAGAAAAGAAAAAGATTCGAACGGCCACCTGTCTGGCTCAGTCCTCAGAATCCTTCAGCCATGTACTCCGTCTTCTACTCCGTATATGTGGATATCTACAACCAATCCAGTCTTAGCTGGTGCTAGGACTGCAATGGGTTTTATTAAGGTCGTGTCAATCATCTCAGGCCTCCAAATACCATGTAACATGGGGATCCTCTTTGCTTGATGCAATAGAACGTAGGTATCTCAGAAGCCAATAACCAGTGGGCTTCTGATCACTTCTAGACTACTAGATACTTGCCGACGACAATCTACGTATAGATAGCTGCATGACATTTGCGCCTCCAGCAGAACTCTCCACCTCTTTGCGTTTGCCAGATATATAACCCGATTTTCTAGGGGTATACTAGTCTTTCGCACTTGTCATGGGAAAGGTAAAAGGGGCGAATAGCGCACCACAACATCCGCCGTTAGAGTGGTTTGCAGTCCACCTGTGGTAGTTGCTCAAAAGGGGCGCTTTTCCCGAGAGCTGAATTTTCGCCGGAGTCTTCTTTTAGGGTACGCCTAGGTACGGAGACGGAGTACCCACGGAGTCGAACGTGCGGAGAAGCTGCCGCAACTGGAAGAGCAACGCTAGCAAGGTTGTGGAAACAACATTGTAAGGCCACACATTTTCGTCCAATAGTCAGGGTGGTGTGGTTGGCCCTTGGCTGAAAAGGTAGCTCGCTTTGGACTCTATACAAGCTAAATGAGTACTCCGCATGGAGTATGGCGTTGTTCAATGCAACTGAAGAATAAACCCTGCATATTGCAGTAAGCCCCAGAGACATTATCCACGACAATGTATGTAGTTCGGTTCTTTTTAGACCTACAAGAGCCTTATAAAACAAACTTCCGATAGAAGTCTCATTCCTGTTCAAGTGGGCTTGCTATTATTAGGCCCCCAGTTGGACAATCTCAACCGTATGATGGGACTTCGCAACACCAAGAAACTAGACAAAGTTCTTGTTACAGCCAGCGGTCAGACTTTTTCTGGATCAGAAAAAGAAAAATATCAGTGGAGGCACAGAAAATGAGACAATACTTTGTGGTCCGACCACGTTGAAGGAGTGTACAACATATGTCATTGATGGCACAGGCGTATTTCATAGAACCCGCTTTATTAGGATGTCCCCAATAGACATGAAGAGTCTTGGGAGAACTTTTACAAAGAGCATACAAGAATGGCGCTATTGATTGACGTCGAAATAAGTTGCAGGAAATAAAATCCACCTAGATATCGTAAGCTTGGGGAAACGCGTCTAGCGGAACCCCAGAAAACAGAAAGACACAACACAGCTTCCACAGCTTTCGCAGTTCAACACCACAATCTTCAAACCCGCAAATAACTCCAAGAATCCTCCAAAATGTCAGCCTTCGCGCCCGAAGACTCAGATAACGATTACTCGTACGCCGAGGTCGACCGCGCGGAAACATCCACCCCTCCAATTCCCCAATCAATGGGCGACGCAGACGCCTCGCACGGCCGAGGCCACTCGAATAACCCCCTCTTGGGAGATAACCCCCCCAGTATCAGATTTGGAGCAGGAAGTGCTGGAAGAGTACGCTCGATTGCTGCGCAATGTCAACCAGGTATGTGGAGAAGACCTGGACCTCGATTTTTTCTGGGTCACTATCTTTTAAGAAGGATACCATGTCCTGTTGGAAACCACATCGGCTAGAATATCGGTTATACTGGTTACTGATCAATGCCTCGCAGCTATCCGATAAACTCGCCGACCTCGCCGGCTCCCCCGCCTCCATGCCCCTTGATGGTCTTCGTCTCCTTGAGCGCAAGACTGCGACTGTATGCACCCTGCTGAAGGCCAGTGTATACAGCATTGTCTTGCAGCAGCAGATCTGGAATGAGAACGAAGAGCAACAGCAACAGGAGCAGAATGAGGATCGGCATTTCCAGGACCACCAGTATCAATACGAAGGGGAGGGAGATGTGACCTTCCAGTAGTAAGGAAGGCATCAAAATTGTCTATTACGTTTGATGGGTTTTTTTTTGGTTTACTCGCGTATTATACCCGGGGTGTTGTTTTCAAGTTTCCGTTTTGGCGCGAGGGAGATGGTGTTTATGCAGAAGAACTCTGTTGATATATGATTTTCCAGATATGCTGTTTAAAAGCCCATAAAACTGGAAAATTGATGACCGTTCATGTTTAACAACCAACTTATACAAGTACATGCAAAAGACACAAGAAGAAGAGGAAGGAAAGGAGAAACATTATATACACGCTGGGACGAAACAGCAAGTCAAGGCTAGGGGAAGCCCTAAATCTTGCCTGCGTAGTACACCTTGCGCACATCGACAATCTTCTTGCCGAGTGCGTGAGCGACCTGCTCTGGGTTACGCTGGCTCATGAATGCCTCGTAGGCAGCCTTGACTGTGTTCATTTGGTTCCTTGAGCGACCAACTCGGGCGGACAGATCGTGAATGCCGGCAGCGCGGCACATCTCGTAGATGAGGTATTGGACACGGAGTCCGAAACCTATTACTGTTAGCAAAAAGGAACATGGCTGAGGAGATCAAACTAAACATACCTGGTGGACGGTGCATCAGCTGCAATTCTGTGGCTCCCACCTTGCCCTTGACATCGCCATAGATAGTTCGTTTCTCGTAGCGGGGAATGGGCTGCATGTTTCGGATCGCACGGTATTGCGACTGGATCTTTGCGTCGGAGGCTTCATCAGACTTGGCCTCACCGATACCCAGCAGCCCATTTCCGTTACCGGCAATGGAAAGACGGTATGCACGGCGGACCTTTCCTAGTCGAGTCTGGTTGGTGACACTGTGAGAAACAAGGGTCTTGGTACGGAGCCCCTTGACTTGGCTCTCTGTGTAGCCAGTAGCCAGAAGCAGGCTCTTGAGGGCATCTGTCATTTCCTCCGCTTCCGCTGACCGCTCCTTCTCGCCCTTTTCGGCGGCTGTCTTCTGCTCTTCCACGCGGGGCTCATCAATAGTCTCTCCCGGCCCGAAGAGATCCGGAACAAGTGCGCTGTGTGGGGCCAACTCGCTCTCCTCCTTGCCGTGGGTGAGGCGCAGGTTGTCCGCAAACCGAACGAAGTCTTTACCTGTGGCATTATCAGGCATCTCAGCGAAGAACTTGCCGAAGTCGTTCACAAAATCGTCCTCGCTTTTCAGCTTGAAATTGTAATCCGAGTTCGACTCCGGGGCGCGCTGGTGCCGATCAATGCCGGGCTCAATCACTGAGAAGTCGTCGATGTATTTGAATGCCATGGGATCACTGCGTTCGTTCAACTGTTCGGACAGATCCTTCGGGTCGATAGCAGCTTCGCCAGCTTCAATGGCAGCCATCTGTGCCTCCGAGTACTCATTTGCGAGTTTGGCCTTCTGTTCTTCCGTGTAAGGCTGGTAGTCCTCCACCCGAGGAGCCTTGACATTGGGGAACTTTGGTTTCCGGTTCGAGAGAGTCGCGGGAGTAGGATGGAATTGGCGCCGAGGGACTCGCGTGCTCGGGGTGGCAGCACGGGTGAAGCTACATAATAGGCATCGAGCCGGCCGTGTGATATTCATAATGACGGTGCGACGAGCTCCCCAGCCGAAGATGGGCCGGCGAAGAGCTTTGAAAATAAAGAGAAACGCGAAATGCGGAGACAATTGGGGAACGCAAAGGCAGAAGAGGCCAGTCGGAGGTGAAGCGTCGGGATGAATTTCTTTCTTGCGGGCGGTCAGTCTCCGACCAATCAACGACGCGTTAGATACGTTTCTAATAAATTTCCCATTTGATGATTTTCGTTCCAGAAATTATTTCGTTGTCGCTTTCCAACTTATATGTTTGCAGTACGGTCTTCTGTTTCGCGGTTGACTTCTTCTTTGTCTTCCCAGACTCTAACAGCCCTTCAAGTCCGACCAGCCTCCAAATTATATTACCACCGCCGTTCAACGAATGCGCGAGCCCCCGCAATAATGCAGAACGGTCCCAAGAAACAATTCGATGGCAAGCGCAAGAAGCCGAGAGTCGACAAGAACAACAAGAGCAGTGGCCACGACGAGGTCCTGCTTTGCGATATCAACCAACTGATCAAGCGCAGCCAAACCGAACAGGCTGAAACCGATGGCGACAGCGAGCCTCTGTCCCTCCCTGAGAAGTTCACCGAGATTGACGTCAAAATTGTAGAGCTTTCCTCCACAGGCGATGGTCTCGCGCTCGCCGAGAATGGGAAATATGTTTACGTTGTTCCATTTACGGTGCCTGGAGACACCGTGCGCGTCAAATTGGTCAAGCATTTTGAGTCATTGTCATACAGCTTGACTGATTTCGTCAAAGTCATTGAACCGGGTCCTCAGAGAAATGATGCGCTGATTGGATGTAAATACTTCGGGGAGTGTTCTGGGTGTCAGCTCCAGATGATGTCCTATGAGGACCAGCTTGCTCACAAACGGCGCATCGTGGAGAAAGCCTATGCCAATTTCTCTGGGTTGATCCCGGAACTTGTTCCTACCGTTGGAGAAACATTTGCTTCGCCAATGCAATATGGATATCGTACAAAGCTCACGCCTCATTTCGCACATGGTGGCTGCGGGAAAGGCTCCAAGCAGGACGGCGAAGAACCGCAGGTCCCCCCAATTGGATTCACATACAAGAACCGACGACTAGATATGGACATTGAAGACTGTCCCTTGGGAACAGATATCGTGCGTCGCGGACTCACTAGTGAGAGGAAACGAGTTGCGGAGAACATCCGTTCTTACAAGCGAGGTGCCACTCTCCTGATGCGGGAGTCTACCGCACGAATCCCTAAAGACGCCGCACCCACCGCCGAAGGAGAGACTCCAACTGTTGGCGGGATTGTCGCCACCCCCAACGCAGACACTGGCGATGTGATCCGCATCGAACGTGAAAACTACATCGAAGAAAAGCGTTGCGTCACAGACAACAACGCTACATCATTCGAATACGTTGATGACTATATCTTTAGCAACAAAGCAGGTGCCTTCTTCCAAAACAACAACTCAATTCTGTCCGGCTTCACAGAGTACATCCGCTCGCAAGCCATCCCCACAGGCAACGACCAAGACGCAAAGCCAATCAAGTACCTTTTGGACGCATACTCCGGCTCCGGTCTATTCACAATTACCCTCTCACCATTGTTCAAATCCAGTCTCGGTGTTGACATCGGAGGCGATTCCATCATTTCAGCACGCGAGAATGCTCGTGCAAACAATCTTCCCAACACAGGCTTTGCTGCCGCCGACGCTGCCACTCTCTTCAAGGATGTTCCATACCCTTCAGATCAGACGTTGCTGGTTATCGACCCGCCTCGCAAGGGTTGCTCAGAGGATTTCCTGCGCCAGATGCTTGATTTCAAGCCGCGCCGTGTTGTCTATGTCAGCTGTAACGTCCATACACAGGCTCGTGACGTTGCTGTTATGGTGCAGGGTGATGAGAAGCAGAACGTTCGCTATGAGATTGAGAGCGTCCGTGGCTTTGATTTCTTCCCCCAGACCGGTCATGTGGAGGGTGTCGCTATTCTGAACCGCACTTCTTTCCCTCAGACTGAGATTGTTTGAGTGATGGGATGTCTGAAAAGTAATACTTCTGAGCATTTATTGGCTATATATATATTTGCCTGATATTGCATATTTCATGGCGTTCTGGCAGGAAAATCCACAAATGTAAGATGGCGATAATGAATATGTACGCTGTTTAATACATTCCCATTCTCATTTTGGATCTCGTTTCATTAAATCAGGCCACAAACCGCCAATTCTCTACGTTGTAAGTTGGCTTTGAATCCGCTATAGAAAATGCCGATGAACACCGGCGCCAAGCCGTTTTTGGTAAAAAGAAAATAGAGAGCACCACCACCGGAGGAAGAAAGAAAAGAGATAAAACAACGGACTATGAACAAGGCTGAGCTACATCGATTGACAAGTATCTAATGATAAGGTTCGCTGGTTGTCCCCCTAGGAGCTTCCAGGGCCACCGAGCAGCGCGAACCGCCGCACAATGCTGGGGCCTATCTCGTCATACTCTGCCTTGGTGTGGCAGTAGCTCCGGAACTCAGGCGTCTGGCCCAGCAGACTACCTCCGAACCAGGGACCGTGGCGCTGGCGCTTGTGGGTGACAACAGCGACGTCAAGACCACCACTCCGTGCGCCACCGCTACGAGCCTCGGAGGCACGAATTCGTGCATCAACCAAGTGACGAATGTCACGCTGTAGACGACGGCCAAAGTCCTTGTACAGAGTAGAGCCGCCAGAGAGCACGATGTTCTTATAGAGACCCCTCCGGACATCAATGGGGGATGACTGAATGACGCCGTCAACAACATTGGGGAGCGGGGTGAGGAAGTCGGACGAGTAGGTTTCGGGGTTGAAGAAGATCTCCGGGGCGAGGAAGCGTTCGTATCCAATGTCGATGTTTATGCTTCGCCCGTTCGGTGCAGTGACGGTGTGCTTCAGGAAGCGATCTGGCTCGCGGTCGTAACGTGCGAACTCCTTGACGATATCGGGGCTGACGTAACAGTACTCCTCCTTCACCTTCTCTGCTGTCTTCAGGCTGCTGTCAGGTTCTCCACGGTCGCGTAGCAAGCTCTGCACAAAATATGTGATGTCTCGTCCAGCAATCGGAATACTCTTGATAGAGGACCCGATGACGTAGCCTTCGGCAACGGGGATAACGTGGGTGACACCGTCACCTGAGTCGATGACCGTTCCGGTTAGGGATCGGTCTGTCACCTTGGATGATGTCCATGAAGCGGCAAGGGCGAGAACTGCTTGCACAGCAATGTAAAGACCGGCGCAGTTGAACGACTCGAACATGATTTCGGCGGTGTTCTCGCGGTTTTCGGGAGGGTTCAGAGGCTATATTTCAAAAATGTTAGCCTCATCATGTTGCAAAAAGCCTGCTGGCAGTATGCGCAGTTGCCTTACAGGTTCGGTGAGTAGGAAGTAGTGGTCCTCGGGCTCAACGCGCAGATATTTGAAGATCGAGTTCGACCAGAATCGTTCCATGTGGTCCCAGTTCTCGATCTGTCCGTGCCGGATCGGGTAGTTAACTCCATATCCTGGGCCACTGCCTGCAGCCAGCGCTTCATCACCGATAAAGAAATCCAGGTCTTCCGTGCCACGCTTTGCAGATAGATTGGAGCTACTACCGCCAGCACCTAGGAACGAGGGCTTATTTGCGACTGGGGGCCGGCCCCCGGAGCTTCCAGCACTTCCAGCAGCTCTAGTTGCAATTGCGGTGGGAAATACAAATGAAGGGGAGTCGTTACCGGCGAAACCTGGATTAGTGGAGGTATCATGTCAGCCTAATCTGTGATTGCGAGCTCCCTGACCACTAGACAGCACATACCAAGCTTGGAATAGCCAGTTCCGCTAGAAAAAAAGCATAGAGTCAGCACCAAATATCATTCGAGTCCATGCAGCTATGAACTTACTTGTCCATGACAACGGCTGGGGTTTGGGACGCCATGGCGGGTGGTTAGGCGTGGGTACGAACACGACGTAGCAAGGAGCTAAATGAAGTGTTGGCGATGTATAGAACGAGACAAAAACGAGGGAATCGGCTGAATCTCAATTGGTAGCCGAAATCGCCCTGACTTCAAGAGTCCAAGAGGACAGGCAGACAAGGCGGGGGGAGATGCAGTGCCCGGCGGTCAGATTACCTAAGGTGTCACACGTCAACATCATGTGCCGGGAAGTATCAAAAAGATCCTCAGGCTTGATATAAGAAAACAAGCAACCACTGAAGGTATGCTGCCCAGATAATGCCAATTTCAGCGCCTGTCTTTCAGGTGAAAAATGAAACTTCACCAAAATGGCAAGGACGACCCGTGCTATGAGAGTTCCCATAAATTTACAATCTTGTCTGACTATCCATTCGCACATCCTCAATCCCTAAGACCCTCGTTTTCCTCACTCTTCTATTATTCCAACAATATCATTTCTGATGAGTGACGCACGTGTTGTGCTGCCCTTCATTTTGTGTATTCATCTCTCAACCCGACACGGATGGTCTGGCCGTAGGCTCTTGTCTTCTCTCGCTTCGCTCCCCGTCCCCAACTCTGCAATAGGATTAGAGCATTGGTTTCCCGTGGCCTTCTGGCCCGAAAGTCCAGGCAATCACTCGTTGTGATTGCAAGTGCAAAACCCCCAAAGAGCTACCGCACTTTGATCAACAATCTGCCAGCCCATCACGGACGCGTCCTAGATTTGCCAGCTCACGCGTCGAATCCATATCTTCACTTCAACCTGATCTCGCGGCAAACTGCATATTACCGATATAATACCATCTGTGATATTCGGACTCAACCAGCGAAGCTCTCCTCGCGTCGAGCTTTTACGTGAGACATCCTTTTCTTGACCCCGGCCTGATACCTCGGTCAATAGTGCATAATCTTGTGGTAGATCCCAAAATTGCGCCTGTCAAATCCCTTTCAACATGTCGCCACCGTCCGGAAATAAGGGCGTTTGTGCCATCTTCATTCATGCCGGAGCGGGCTTCCACAGCCACGAGAATGAGCACAAGCATTTGAAGGCCTGTGAAGTGTCAGTCTCATTATTTCATATATTTGATGATTACACAGTCTAACAAGTGAATGAAACTAGAGCCGCGCTCAAGGCCATGGCATTCTTGAAGAGTGGTGGCACCGCCGTTGATGCTGTCGAAGCAGCCCTGATGGTGCTTGAAGATAATCCGATTACAAATGCAGGGTTTGGGAGCAATTTAAATGCAAAGGGAGTGGTCGAGGGCGATGCCTCGATCGTCGATCATCATGGGCGAAGTGGTGCGGTTGGAGCTGTGCCTAGTAAGTTTGTTGTGCCTCTGTACGAAGTCTTGCCTAACATATGTCCCTACTAGATATCAAGAATCCAATTATGCTTGCTCGAAAGGTTTATGACAAGTCCAATGTGCAAATTGGAATGTCAAGGGTGCCCCCGAACTTCTTGGTCGGAGAAGGTGCTAAGGACTTTGCATGGGAGAATGGCATCGTGATCATGCCCGGGGAAGACTTGATCTCGCCCACCGCTCTAGAGCGTTATCAGGTATGGGCCGCAGAGGTGGATGATTATGAGAACGAAAGCAGCGGCGAAGTAATCGACCCTTGGATTCGCCGGCCCATGACTCCCCTTGACACTCGCCTTAAACGTCTTGAGCGGGCTTCTCAATCCGAACCCCGTCCTACCAGCAATCCCGCGGGCGAGGAAATTAGAACTTTGACCGATCCAAGTCTTTCTGCAGATGTGAAAGGGCGTCCGGCATCATCAACGGCGCATGGAACTCCAAAAAAGGCCAAACTTACAAGTCCCCACCTACCTGTGCAGCCACCTGCCTCGCCTTTATCCTCATCCCGGGATGGCAGCCCTGATTCCGCTGATAGCGAGCAAGATGGAATGGACACTGTCGCTGATAGCCCCGATGACACCGTTAGTGAAGAAGAGGGAAAGATCAGCCTCATCGACAGGACCGATGGTGCTGATAGTGAACAAGACAGGGAGGACAGCATCACAGACACTGTTGGCGCCATTGCTATTGACAAGTATGGAAACATTGCAGCGGGATCTTCTTCTGGAGGCATCGGCATGAAGCACCGAGGTCGGATTGGACCTGCAGCCCTAATTGGCATTGGCACCCATGTTATTCCAAAAGACCCAACTGATCCAGATGGAACCACTTGTGCAGTCGTCACATCTGGGACTGGAGAGCTCATCGCCTCAACACTGGCGGCAAGCACATGCGCGCAAAGGATGTATTACAGTCAGAAGATGGGTGACAACGGTGTGTTCACCCAGGTCATGGAGGAAGAAGCCCTCAAAGGGTGGATGAAACGGGAGTTTAACGGTGCGTTCGCTTATTTTCACTAGAGGTTCCAAAACACTGACATTTGTTTGCCTTTTGTCTCTTAGAACACACTGCCGTGAGTAACAGCATTCTCTTTGGGGCCCTCGGAGTGGTCATTGTGAAGAAAAACAATCACGGCATTGAACTTTACTTTGCTCACAACACCGACTCTTTCGTGAGTCTTCCATTTACCACTACGTAGGATTGGTTGCTGAACATATTTTACAGGCCATTGCTTCCCTGTCTAGCAATTCGGACAAGCCGTCTTGTCTAATGTCTCGAGGCTCGCGAGGAACCATTGTACAGGGAGGTTGCCGAATCAGACTTCCGGGTCACTGTAAGTTCTGCCAAGTTTGAAAACACAAGTTGTGAGTACTGAACACATATTATTTAATCAGAATTCGCAATACACCCTGGATGAGAACTACAACTATGTTGCAGTGAAGCCTCTATGCTCTGCCGACGTTTGGTCTGTGGGTATTCATCAATGGACGAGATGGTTTTCGCCCAGGACAGTCTGTATTTGCTTCAGTCTGTCCCCTCTCCTTCGCATTCTCCGCGTTGGTGTATCCAATTCCCCGTTGTGTTTCCTGGCCTTCTGACACCAATGTTTCACTCAAATGGTGACAGGCTGCCGACACAAGCGATTGCTTTAATGACTCTTTCTTGCTTTCCCTGGACAGTCTCTTTTGAGACCGGGCACCAACGTTGTGATCAGAGTATGCCCCAACAAGCCCCGGCCTCCATCCCTGCTGTGTGTACCTATTCGTTTCACCATAGTAAAATGAGAGCTGTCCCAACTTATCTCCTTGTAAATCAGCTACATGTAGTGTTGCTCATAGAACGAAACCGATGGGTGTTTCAGGAGCAGTACCAGCTCGAAGTGAGTACAGTCAGGCCCCACCATGTCTTTATTTTTTCCCCTACGATACGGCCTTCTGGGGAAGAGATATCAAGGACCCGGCGTAGGCGTAGACATGGGAGTCCCTGTCCCGGATGCCCCATTAACACGCTTCTTCTTCTTCTTCTTCCGTGGCAACAGAGCCGGCTTGGCATTATCACAGATCTCCAGATGCGTGCCACAAGTCATGCAATCACCACCAGGTGGCGGCTCGCAAAATATACTGAGACAGATGGAGCACACAAAGCCAACATCAACGACCCGGCGATGACAAAAGCAAGCAGCTCGGAAATCGACATCCACCCGCGTTGGAAGAACCAAATGCCGGCGCGAGCGCTGATCCGGCAAAAACGCCATCATGAGATACTGCAGTAGACCCCGCGGTTCGGTGAGAGCCATATAAATACCCTTAGTAGCATCAGACGCCTGCTGCAGGAAGACCGCATCACCACTGAGCTTGCACACATCAATGGGAATGCTCAAGCGCTGACAGGCAAATATGCTGTTCATGACAGGAATATACTGGTGTGCAGCGTCGGTAGACCCACTCACGGAAATGACCAAGATACGACTCTGCAGTCGCTCGTCCTCGTTCGAGGCTGAGTATCGGGTCGTCGCTGTGCCCCCGTTCCCGTTGCCCTCGGCTGCAGTGTCTTCGGCGTTGGCGCCGCCGTGCTCCTCTGCCCAGGCGAGCGTGCGTCGGTTTATGTGGCTCAGGGCGAGGGTGAGTGCGCCCGCTAGCATTGTAGACATGTTGCCGCGCAGATCGTCGCCCGTTGTTGAGTCCATTAGTTCCTTGAGGTTGCGGGTGACTTGTTCTTCGACGAGGCGGAATGGGCGGTATTTGTTTGTTTCGGGGGGTTGGGTGTCGGTTGCACCGTTCATTGCGACGTCGCCGTCATGATCGGCGGAGGGGTTTCGGGGGGCATTGTGAGATGGATAGAGCCATGCGGCTTTTTGGCTGTGAGATGCAACGACAGCGACTTCGTTGGCGTAGTTGCAGGCCAGGTGGGCGTTGATGAAGACTAGGATGTTCGCGATTGCTTTGGAGAGTGGGAGGGAGTCTTCGAGGAGGGCCCAGGCGTGTGGATTTGTGTCGATGACGATTGTGAGTAGGGATGGGGAGAGGTCTATATGACGATCTGGTTAGCTAGTTGTTCGGCTCTTATGGAGAGTAGACAATACGGACCGGTAGCTCCCAACTCATAATGCTCCGAAGCATCCACGGAATTCATTTTGTTAAGATGGAGGATCAGTCGAGGCTGGTATTCATTATTATAAGTTGCGACCCTCTCAGATTGATACCGGGCCGATTAGATTGAAATCCCGAGGCTGCAGTCACAGCCAGAATTAATTTTGAAGTCCAAGCTCTTCTACTCCGTAGTATTCGGCACTTTAATTGAGGGTCTTAGAGCGATAAGCCAGTCACGGGGTGATAACCCTGCTATAGCTGTTTCCTACCTAGGTATATGAGGTTCCAACAACTCCCACCTACGTCAGGACTTGAATCATGTATCTATTTTTTACATCCTCACACTGACTTGACTCGCGATCTTCAACTGACTCGCAAACATGTTCAAAGCTCAACCGGTGCTGATACTCCAATCAGATTGACCTTCACACTGTGAATCAAAGGGTGACTGAAAGTACCCCGAATTTATGAGCATCTTTTGAGGGAAGTTCTCCTTTCGATCGATGTGAAAGAGAGGACATCGTGTCTCTCTTGGCATATATCCCTTGGATGCGCCAAGATCAAACTATTGCATACCATCTTCTCTAATACCAAGACGGATGGTTGCCTTTCTACACCGTACTATAGGAACTCAGCGGAGCTGACAAGACCGGAAGCCTTGGGAGATGTGAGAGTAGTACAAAATCCTTGGAAAGGAATAAGCTGAGTATATGCTTATCCGCAACGTGACGACGTTCGGCGATGTGGTTGGTGTCTTATCGGGCCAATTGATAATGGGGATTCGTGAAGGAAATAGAAGTGTAAGATCTCGGTCTATTATTACATACATGTCCGGGGAAAAGTATAAGGTGTCATGAAATTCAAACGGGCCAACGCGGCAATCCGGAAAATATAATACAATCATACAATTTTCTCCTTTTTCCTTTCCCATAAAGCGGTTCCCACCTTATCTCTCCGCTCCCCACACCCCTCCAAAAAAAACCTCCCCCTTTGGATAGCTTCTCTTTGCTTCAGCTTACAAACTACAACCGGAGTCTTCATTTCCGGTCCTCTCTCGCGCAACCTTGCAATGGTTCAAGCAACGGGCGAAGAGCGCGCTGTGAACTTGGCCCGAGAGGCTGTCGAACTGGTCGACGCGGGTCATCGAGAGGTATGTCACCTAAGTCTTGAATGCAGGCAGCTAGCGGAATACTGATATACACCTCCACTCACTAGGCTGCTTCTCGTAATCTAAGAGAAGCCCTTTCGATCGCCCCCGAAAATGCTCAAGTGAAAGCAGCATTCCTGAAAGTTCAGCATGAAGACAAAGACGGCCACCAGCTTCTCGATCTCTGCCGCCGCTATACCACACAGAAAGATGAAAATGCAGGCAAAGAAGCTGCAATTTACCTCCGGACCGATGGACTGAAATCCCCGGAAACTGTTGCTTTGGAATGTCTGAAATTGTTGCTCGCACAGCGACCCCACACTCTCTCGACAACACAGGATGAGATCATATCTGGGTTGGTGCGGCAGAACGTCAGTGTTCGACAGTACTTCTCTACAGAGCTCCAGGCATCTGTGACAACCTTTTTCGATGAGATCTACGACCGGGGCGATGGGGCAGCGGTGTGTTTGGACACGGTAGTGTTGGACCCCACGGTGTGGACATCGGAGGAAACACGAGCCCACTGCGAGAGTGAACTATTCCAGCTTTTCATTGCCAAGTTGATGGAATCAGGCCATGATCTTGATGGCCGCTCTTTAAAGGGAATTACTCGACTACTCGCTGTCCACGCCGTTGAGCTCGAACATCTGATCGACGATGAAGGGTTTGAGGTGATCCTCTCATCCTTAGACAATCGATTGCCGCTAGAAGTTCGCAGCCAGGCGACCATGGCTACTGCGAAATATCTCGAGGTCGCCAAGGAGACGGGCGAAAAGAAATTTTCAACATTGATTATGAACATTCTTGGCAAAGGCCGTGTCAGCGATCTCATCGTAGCTTTCTCTGCGGTGGCCGCCATCTTCCCTGTGGCTCCCTCTGCAGCTGCCAGTCTCTTCTTGTCGGATGAGTTCATGAACTTCCTCCTCCCGATGGCATCGCGAGATGCCAAGAGCAAGAAGGTGGAAGTTCCTGTTCTGGAACTTCTTAATGCAGCTTGCATTAACCGTCCGTGCCGCGAGGTCGTTTCAAAGAAATTTGGAGAATGGTTGTCACATATCCTGACCAATGGAAGTGATGACTGCTCGGAATTAGCTGCAGTGACCCTAGCAAAGATCCGGGCATCTGAGCCTGAGAATCCCTCGGCTGGCAACGGTAAGGTCTTGGAACAAGACAGCGAGTCTGAACTGGTTCACCGATTTATGGGACTGATGTCTGAACACAAGGTTGAACACAACTCCCACGCAATTGAAGGATTGGCTTATACTTCGGTGAAGCCATCCGTCAAGGATCAACTTGCCAATGATCCGGCTTTTCTACGAAACTTTATCGCGGCTCTGAAACAAAACACCGGCGACTCATCCGTGCTTTATGGTGGCTTGATGGTCGTCTTAAACCTCACTAAATTTTTACCCACCTTATCTGAAGAGCAAAAGAAGATGGCACAGCTGAAGGACTACGCGGATCCATCTACCGGAAAGGGGAAAGCAGCACCCGTAATTGATATTCGCGATGAAGAGGAAGCTGTTCTGAGACGATGTGGCGCCGTTATCGATGCAGGCATCATGACTCTGCTTGTTGAGTGCGGTCGAATCTCGTTGCCTTCCACCAATGAGCTTACGGCAAAGATTCTACAAAACTTGACTCGGCCTCAAAAGTCCCGTGGAACACTGGCCCAGCAAGGCGCGGTAAAGCTGTTACTTGGCCTCGCAGCCCCGAAACAGAGTAGCTCTGGCCCTGTGATGAACGAAACGACACGCATCGCGTCTCATGCGCTGGCTCGCATTCTTATCTCCGTTGATCCTTCCCATGTTTTCCCATCATCCGGATTTCCTCAAGTCACTTCCGCCGTCCGGCCCCTTCTCTCCCTCCTTTCATCGCCCGAGACTGCCTCGTTCTCCGCCGACCAACCTCGCGACTTACTCCCGGTGTTTGAAAGTCTCCTAGCTCTGACAAACCTGGCTTCATATCCGCATGACGACTCCGCACCCGAACTCACGGTTCGGGAAGGCTGGTCTGCAATCGAAGATCTCCTCTTGTCTAGCAATGCTCGGGTTCAACGCGCTTCCTGCGAACTGGTCTGTAATCTGATGACTTGCGAGTCTGGCATTATCAAGTTC